CAATCAATCAATCAATCAATCAATCAAACCCCTTTTTTTTTTTTTTTAATTTTGCATCTGCATTTTTTCAAAACACCTCATACTTCTGCAAAAAAACATAAATTAATTTCTTAAAAAATACAGGTAAACTCACGGACCATATATCTCATGATAAAAAATGACCAAAAAAAAATCCTGCTTTTCTTTATGTATATTTTTTAATTTTGTTTAAATCGATTTTAGTTTTTTATTTTTTAAAAATCTTAAACAAAGTCGGATTCCAAAAAAAAAAAAATAGGAGTGTAGGTTTTTTTTAGCCCTAGACGCCCATAGCTTTTTTTTTTTTTCATGCATTAAAAAAAAATAAAATCTTGCACCGAAGTCGGCTGGTCGGCCTAGGCCGAACCCGGCCTATTCGGCCATCGGCCTAGGCTGCGGCCGACTTGGACCCCTCGGCCGCGGCCGGGCGTGCAACACAGGCTGGCAGACATTGCTTGCTCCCCGTAAGAGACGGGCGGCACTTGAGTGCCTGCCAGCCCATCGATTGCAGGGCTTCATTCGACTTTGGTACTTTCCAGCATGTATCTGACTTATTTTTATTTATTATTATTATAATTATTATTATTATTTTTTTTGACGAACACCCCCTGCAGTGCTAGTGGTACTGGTAAGAGCAGGTACCACTACCGTCTTCCCCCGAACATAAGGCATATGTGTTGTAAACGAATACAACGCATACCGTGCGTGGTATTCGTTTACAACGCATATGCGTTATGTTAGAGTGAACGAGACCGTCTTTGCCTGCACAAGGGGGTCGGGTCCAGGCGGAGTAGGCTCAGTTCTGGACCACGGCTGGGGGCCTCAGGGCCTTGGCAAAAAGGTAAAAGTAGCGACGTAACTTTCCATGTTCTGGGTTGAGTTTCATTCCTTTCCCCTACTTGGGCCCATGCTCCACTCGTCAGCAAATGTGCAAAATGCGAATGAATCTTCCACTAGACCGTGGACAAATACAAGCCCTTTCTTTTTTTTGTCTCGGTGACCACGGTAGGGCAGCGAGACCTTGGTGAGTGGCTTTCTTACTTTTCCACTTTCTTGGCTGCGCCACATTCTTGGCTGTCAGAAGCGCCTTCGCGCACGGAGAGAGAGAGAGAGAGAGAGAGAGAGAGAGAGAGAGA